TGGACCAATTTTCATTCTGAAATCAAGTGCATTTGTTTTTTGTGAATTCAGATTGAAATCAAATGGTTCATAGTATGGGTAGCCCATAATGGATATAAATGCTAATTGCAAGGTATAGAGCATCTCTAAAATCCATGACATTCCTCAAAGCTCCGAAAAATTGATTATGAATGGGTGATTATCTAGAGTTCCCATATGAGTATATCGTTAAATAGTTGTGAAATACACTACGTATGGACGTTGATAGGCAGCCTATTGAAATACTCTGCTGAACTCGGCCAATTTTAAAACTTCAAAATTACCGAACCGAAAAGGCTGACAAAATGCTAGCCTAATATAAAAATCCTGACCCAGTTCCTTTATAACTTTGATCCTAACCTATAACATTATTATTCTGGAGCGCAGTAGTTTACAAAAAGGTATGTGCAACGCAAAAAAAACGAAATGTGATAAAGCGGCAAAATCCCTGAAATATGTATTCGTCGTTCATTTGTTTTCAGAAGTCGATCTCATATCAGATTAGCGAAACATTTTTGTTATACGAAAATGTGTTGACTTCAAGAACAATCTGCAGTTTATTCAGAAAATGCGAATTGTATCGTGAGTGGTGGCATCAGTCATTTCACTCTTTTGCTTGAAAATTTTGAGAACTCTTTGGTAAAAGTATGCAAAATTGCGTTATTTCAGAAAATTCTACACCATACCTGCAGTAAATCCTCTCGAATTTTCAGCCAAATGAGATTGATGAAAGTGGATTTCTTTGAAGAATACCCCAACGAGCAGTATAATGGTAACATGTCATTTCAATTCGCTTTAAATACGTTAGAAGAATACATAATATTTTGAATGGTTGTTAAAGTATCTCATTTCAACTTATATCCCAGACGGTAAATATTTTTGGATTATTCCTTGTCATAATCACCCTATAAGATTTCTATGTTTGTTCTGGGTTTTACAAGAACTTCCTGACAACAGAGTACAAAGAAATATAAGTAACAAGAAAGATTATTTGGTGAAACTGCGTCGCTAGCTGAAAAGGACGCAAAAATGATGTTTCGGCGTTAAATACAGTTGCAGAAGCTTGTTCAGGGGCCTGAGGGTCTTCTTCTGGACAAAGAGTTACAACCACATCCACACCCACATCTCAATTTTACCGATTCAGTAATCGGCTCTATTACAGCTACTAGCCGGCGATTTTCTCGAGTAAGCTGCGATTAATCTCTAAAATTTACTTTGTTTTTGTGGCAGACATAAAATTCAAAAATTATTTTAAATACAATTTTGGAAAAAGAAATTCAACTATCTTATACTAAGACTAAAGAACTCAATGTCAACCTAATTACCCACCAATGAAATTCAAAAAAATATGCCAATGAAGAAAAGTTATAACTAACTGAAATATGGACTGACAATCTAAGAATGTGTCATTGGTCGAAAAAATATGAAAGTACACATTAATAGAAAATTTTTATATTTTACCGAGTCTTTCAAGTCCTTGGTGTGCCCTATTTGAAGTTTGTCTAAACCTAATCTCCTCGAATCTATGTTAGACTTGAGCGTACCCTACGCCAATCTAGGGTAGGCTTGGGTCTACCCAGGCTTAATAGCTCCGCCGCCGCTGAGTGAGAATGTATATCGTTTTTGACACCGGTTGTACATCTAGCGCATCTACTATTTGCCTATCATTATGGTGAAGCGATTTCAAAATAAAAATACTTTTTGTCCACTAGACTTTAAAGACCTATTATATTAAAACAATATGATAATAGATTTTATTCTTCGTCACCATTCAACAACGAAAACTTAATCCTTAGTTTTTTTTTAATTTTAATATTACTGAATCATCCTATCACTTATGATTTTTGAAATACGAGTGAGAATACATGACATGGTGAAATCGATTACTAAAAAAAAATTTTGATACATCGTGCGCAACGCTCAATTATATCTATAGAACAAGACGATATATTGTTGTAGAAGCGACCGTTTTCCCTATATCTATGACGCAATAACACTAATGAAATCAATTTAGAGAAGGTTCCATAAAACCGAATACTATTTCTGCTTTCGAACGAAATCATTTTTTTTATTTTTTACACAAAACAACATCAAAAAAACAAAACAAATATCATAAAGAGAAAATAAGAAAATCTGTCCAAGCACGTTCAATAGATTCGATCTAATTGTACAAAAATTTTTCCATCAAAAAATGGTACTAATTCATCGTCCATGGTTAATTCTCGATAGACATACTGCTCTTTATTAATATCAGGCGTACATATTGTTTTAAAGAAATATCTAAAACATAGACTGTACAACAATCATTATCGTTATTTATAGATTTTTATTCATACCTATATGTTGTTTGTTTTTTAAATAATTGTCGAAATTCTTTAAATGTTAATCTATTATAAATACGAGGAATTGTCGATAGAAGAGCATTGTTACTATCGAGTGATGGATTCCATATAACATCAATTGATGGATATTGTCTTTTTGTACAAAATGTTTCATAATTTCTTAACGCAGAAACGAAATTTTCAATTTATTAACGAAGAAAAATTTATAGTTGATTTACTTTTCTGATGAATCTGTTCCCACACCTGAATCATATCTTGTAAAATGATCGATCGAACTTTCATTTAGAAAATTATCAGCATCATCAATTGTTTTTGCTATTTGTAAATCAAGAACAGCGAATGGATCATCGCCAATCATGAGATCAGGAATTTCAGTTTGATATGCTAATAAACGAGTTTTAATTTCTTCGAAAAATGCCGATGGATTTCGTTGAGCAAGACTACATAGATTTTTTTCTTGTTTTATTACTTTTGTAGATCGCTGAAAATAAAATCAACAATATTTTTTTTTTTAATCTAAACATTTTTCCACTTACTGATTGTTTTGAACTATTCAATCCAATTTGATTATCAGCGATTACGGTCGAACTTTCCAATGAACTAAAAATAACAATTCAGATTTCGATTTTTGTTGTGCAAAACTTACAAATAATAAGGGTGAGGCATGAGTAATAATGTCATTGTTCACATAAGTATACATGCAGACTCAAATGAAAGATATGTATATGTCTCTGTTTCTTTTTCTATGTCGACGGTGGTGGCGGCGGCGGCGGTGGCATCATAGTGTAATCTAATTGAATCTGATTCATGTTGACAAGATGAAAGGAAGCGACAATGTTAGAAGTTAGAACGATCAAAAGGAGAGCGCACATACTTTGATGCAAAACGGCCGACGCTTAATCATCTATCAGGGGTAATCTACAGATTGTTCTTTTCTTTTTCTACAATCAAGTATTCAAGCGAAAGTGTGACGAAATGCACAGGCACACGTATTTGATCATCATTATGATGAGCGTAGCCCGCAGACAGATTCTTCTTCTTTTTCAAGCATATGTCACACATGAACATATGGTTTAATGATGACACCTTCTTTTCTTTTTTTTTGTGGTCGTCTGAATTGAATTAACAGCACTCACCTGAGGTCGATAGGCTATTGACATGTCATTTTAATAGGCATAGAGTAACACTCGAAAAAGAAATAAGATCATTAATTAGTATTCATATTTTTTTTTCTCAATTATAGATCTTTAACGTCAAATTTCACACTGAATATTTTAATACGAATAAAAATCGATTATTCTTCTGTAGGAAACTTACGAAAGATTTGATTGCTGTTTGAATTTTTCGAAAACATCTTTTTTCCGTATTGATATACAGCGACGATGCATCGGCGTGAACTTCGGTGCCGTCAAAGCTTGCCGCTTTGTTTCCGGTGAATTTTGTTGTTCAATGAGAAATTTCGGATAACACATTTGTAACATATATTTAAGAACATATTCTTGTGCTTGATCGTAAAATTTCAGATGAAATTCGTGTTTTGTTAAACATTGTTTTATCGACGAAAGTAAATCGTCTGGCAGAGAAAATATCGTTGATGATGATAAAGATTTTCCATGTGATAAATAATGTTTAAAAATAAGTTTAATAATAGCACATTGATTTTTTTTATCATCAGCTAAATTTTTTAGACCATCACACGCTAAATAAAATTCCAGTACATATGCCAATTGTTCCGATTTCATGTAGATGTAAAATAATTCGCATGATTCAGGTTGATTGATATATGCGAGAAATTCTTTTCGTAAATCACTATTCAGCAATGGCATATCGAGTCTAAATAGAAGAGAAGAAGAAAAAAAGGAACTATTCTGATGTACGAATAAATTTCTCCTTCTGTTTATATACGAAATGAGAAGATCAAAGATGAACAGAAAAAAAACACTGGCAACTCGTTGTTCTCTTGATGATCTCATTCGTTTTGGTAAGAGTACAATGAGAAAATTCTCATGATAATTTCAGATCATGTTTGACATTCATCAGCGGTGATGTAATGAGAAAATTCTATGTATTACAAATTAAGAAATCAATGTCATCATATCACATTTTAATATAGTACGCTGTCTAATGGTTTATTGGTTGAAAAACTAGAGATTTATTTTTTTTTGAAAATTATCTGACCGATCATCTGTTTTTTGCACAGCGGGTAGATTGTTAAGAGTGTTGCAAGTGACTGTAAATAAGATTTAATTGGCGAAAAAGAACTATAAACACTTACTCATCATCGAATGGTCTTTTATTTGCCATCATAAAGTCGAAATATTCCAAATGATTCGATACATATTTTTCATGAACCTCAGTGACAACTAGAAAACAGACGGCATTTAGCACTTTTTCTTTTTTTCTTCTCTCCCTCCTATACACCCTCCGGCAATATACCACTTAAATAACTGAATTTCATTCTCGCATCACAATAGACATTTATTCTATTCCAATCATTGACAATACGAATAGCTTGAGGTATCAAAAAAAAGTGATGTCTTCCGGTTTCATATCACAAAATCATAAAAATGATCACAAAAAATTAGTGCTTATTTTCTGCATCTTGTTTTTCTTTTAGTAAATTTTGAATAATTTTTTCGATTTCATCATAATTATCATTGGCACGTGCACGTGGCACACCATGATGATCGATTAGAAATTTTCCTGAGAAATTCCATGTTACACGACCAGGGTAACTTTGTTTCAGCCAGGCATAGATCGGATGTGTATCATCACCATTGACATTAATTTTATCGAACATAGGAAATTCAACATTATATTTTTTAATGAAGGATTTTATTGTTGAACATGTACCATGTTCTTGATAAAGAAATTGATTGCAGGGAAATGCTAAAATTTCGAAGCCTTGCTCACGATAACGAGCATATAAATCAACTAAACGTTTATATTCGCGATCGGTTTTACCACATGACGATGCTACATTAACGACCATAAGAACTTTTCCTTGAAAATCCGACATCGGCTTTTCATTTCCATCGATATCAATGGCTTTCAGTTTATCAAATGTTCCAAAATCAGGTTGATAGTGACTCTCAGTCTGCGATGATGTTGCACCCATCGTTTATTTTTCAAATGATAATAAAAATAAATGTTACAAACTTTGATCCGTTATCCAATAGGCTGTTCTATTCCTTCAATCCCGAAAAAGTTTATTGTCTTCATAACTAATAGCGACATTTTTTGTTTTCACTCTTACATATCCAGTCGTCAAATTCAGATAATCAATCATTCTTTGCATCAAGAAAATATCTGATAACCATTCCAAGTTCATCCGTAATTAATCTACCGATATCAAGTATTATCATGCTTCTTTTTTCTCGAGGGGACTGGCATAATATCTGTCATTTTAGGTTCAAGGAAAACATGCCAGATGAACTAAACCCAATAATTCGTAATTGCTATGAACAAGCACATCAATGTATTACCAAACGTGAATCTATTCAACGTTTATTACAATCATTATCGTCTCGTGGTTGTACATTTGATTTTCATCGTCATTTAGCCTGTGAAACGAATGATGAAAATCTACGTGGTGGTTTTGATCGTTCGACATGTCAAATAATTTTATATCCTGAAAATCTTCACTCATCAGAAGAATTTTGTACTATTTTCGAACATGAACTTATTCATGCCTATGATTATTGTCGTGTTAATATAGATTTCAATAATCCATATCATCTTGCCTGTACCGAAATTCGTGCAGCATCATTATCAAATCATTGTTCTCTATTCAATCATTTATCATCATCATCGCGGCCATTTTTATTAAAAAATCAACATTCATCATGTGTAAAAGATCGAACACGAGAATCGATGGAAATTTGCACAAATTTTCCAAGAAAAAAACTCGATGAAATTATCGATCATGTTTTTCTTCGTTGCTATAAGGATACGGAGCCATTTGATGAAATAGAAAGAAGAAAATGATTGCTCATCTCCATGTGTGTCTATCATAAGAGCAGTTGGACCTATCGCACAGTTGTATCAAAGCGTCATTGTCTAACGAAAACATTCAGTAGAGAATAAGTAAAAACATCGTAGTGAACTACTAGACGGTTGCGATCGATAGACAGTGGTTTGTTTCTATTAATCAATTCCGTATACATTCAGTAAGAACAATTTGGAATTCTTTTTTTCTTGGATCATCTGCCAGAACGCTGTCTTTCTGTTTGATCGATTTGATATGTCTGTTTGCTGTACGTGAATCTTGTGCCATTTTTTTCTTCTTTGAATTGATCAGTCTCTATTATATAATCATATAGATCTCTCTCTCTCTCTATATATATATGTGATAAAGACGCATGAGCTGGCATACCAAAAAATTGATCTGTCATTATAGGATTATGCAGAAAATATATATCAATGATCGTTATTGATTGGCTTCAGACACGTGAATTTGTTCGTGGTATGACGAATTAAATTTTTTATATTCATACTAAAATAATTTCTGTTTTGTTTTTGCAATAGAAAATTCTGAACGTTTTATCTTATATTGTTTATGTGGCTGCTTCATTGGTGTTAGTATTATGTTGCTGATGGTTATTATTATTTTATATTTCGAACAACGGCTTAAAATGAGATCTGATTATCAATCATCGCCAACAAGCAGTGAATACGATGATAAAAAATGTTACATGCCTGTTTATCGTTATAATTGTCGAACTCATGATGATTTTTATCAGGTGTAAACATAAAAATGTATTTTAGTCGATATCCGGTGATATTATTTCAGTTTATTAACATAACAAGGAGAAAAAAAGTGACATTCATTTATCTTGGTTTCCATTTAATGTCATTGAGACCTTGAAATGTACGTTTTAACGAGTTTCGATCAGCCCATTCAGAATCCATATACGAATTATCTTCATTTTCTTCAAGTTTCTATTTTATTCGAGCGAAACAAAAGATTAATATTTTGTTTTCGAAAATTATTATTCTTACTTTAAGTTCTTGTTGTTTTCTATAATAATAAGCCATCATTTGTTTCTGTTCGTCGTCTGATACAACACGTTCTCGAGCTGGTGCTGCATTACCTTTCTAAAATAAATTCAGTTTTGCTTGTGTTTCTATATGAATGAATTTTTGGTTTCAAACCTTTTGAATTTTAACGATTACTTTGGTTTTTTCATTTTTACCAACAGAATCCGACAGGAGCTTACCACGATGCATCTCTTTACCGCTAAACCATAGTGTCATATCAGTTTCTGGTATGACATCGAGACTATCCTAAACGCAAAAATTTTCATCGATAATAAAAATCTCATGAAAAATGCTTCTGTTTACTTGTGTTCCTTCAAGTTCTTCTTGATTCTTAAATTCAAGTTCAATTGGATCGTACGGCGGTAAACCCATGGGATAAACAATCATTACAGCCCCTTTCAATTGTTGTAATGCTTCATTAATTTGATCACATGTTACACATTGATCGGCTTGTACTAGTTTCTAAAAAGCACAACAATCATTCGACTGATTTTCATTTAGTTTTTTTTTTACTTTGGAAATTTTATCTTTTGCTTCTTGAATTGTACGTTCTAATATTGAACGCATTTTTTCTGTTGGAGCTAAAATAGAAATTTGAATTAACAAAAAAAACAAGGATTCGAAACTATCTTCGATCTTTACCACGTCCATTTCGTCTTCCAGTTCCATCCTCTTCTTCGACATAACCATCCATTGGAATACATTTATCAGCATATTCATCTACTAATTTCAAGTCTGTTATTTGATCTTCAGTTAAACCTTGCATATTAACAGGTAATGTTATGCCATGTTTAGCTAACATGGATACTTCTAAAAGGAATCAACAATATTGAAACAAAAAAATAAATAAAAATATATTTTTTTATATACCGCCGCAAATTCGATGAACTTTCAGTCGACCATTGTAAATAAGCGATATTTGATTAATTAAAGTATCGATAGGTGTATTTGCTGCTATTTCAAATAAAAATTGACTTTCATCGCCATGTTTAACATGTAGTTTAACCATCGTTGATACAATAGAAAGTATTGACTAAATAATTTATATGTACTGTTCTTGACAACCGTTACTATATTAATGATTGTTTTAACCTATCCACAACGGCTTTTATATGGCAAATAAAATATAAGCAATTATCGACTGTGTGTGACACCTATAGGATTGTATGATGTGTAGGTTCATTACCCCTACTTGATATGTTATAAAAAAAATGAACTTCTTTTGGTATGATTTTATTTTATTACTGAAATCTTATATATAATTACGGCGTGGTGCTCGTGAAAATATTAGAAAAATAAATAGTCATGTATTGCTGTTGTCATGATATTTATCGTCCAATTTTGTCAATTTATATTCGTTTTTCTTCATATTTTCATTGATTACATATGATAACGATTGAATATTATGTATTATCAGACGATGAATTGATTTAACTTCGATCTGAGATTTCTCGCTAGAAAGTAATAGAGTTTAGAATACTATATTTGAAAAATTCTAATGTAACTAATACATTGCTGGTCAATCAGTAAGCAGCATTTAAATATTACCTGCATGCAACTAGCTTCTCCAACCAATCAATTAAAAATATGAAATCTTTCGGAGAAATGATTTCATTATGAAGCCAATTTAATTTGGATTTGATGAGTTCTTTTGTCTGTTCGATTCTATTTGTTTTACTATTCGTATCTGAAGCTCTTGTATTAAATATTTGCGTTGTACCTAAGTAGTTTGCTTTTTTAATTCGAACTTCATGTTCAATAATACTTACGTTTACTTAATTCTTCACGCTTTTTTTGATTACGTAAATTTTTCTTTTCACGTTTTTCTTTCATATAATCATCATTGACAGATGATACACTTTCAATCATTAATCCAACGAGGACATTGGTAACGATACGATTACCAACAAAAACTATAATTATCAGAAACCAACGGGATATTGGTGGACTACCGTGATTTTCAAGTTCGGGTTCAATTAAATTCCAATTGTCGACTAATGTTAATCGCGTAGCAATAGATAATGACGTAGAAAAATGATGCCAAAGACTAAAGAAGAAGAAGATCGTCATTATTGAATCTAATGCGATTTATTTGTACAGTTTCGTGTACGTTCTAAAAAGATCTATTGTCTGCCTGGTGCATGGTTTTACACGATTCTATGACTTTTTAGCTACCTCACATATCTCCGTTACCTATCTTCTGATCTACCATAAAGAATTTGTCCAATAACAGCAACAATATAAATAAATAAGAAAACAAGAATAACAACGCTGAATGTATATGTCAATACGGTTTTCATTAAAGCTTGCGTTAATAATTGTAGACCATCAAATAACCTTATGATTCGATGTAAGCGTATTAATTGTAATAATCGGAAGCCTTTTAATAAGTTTCTTATAGCTGAATATTGTTTTTGAACAAATAAATTCCAAATAATTTCAATAAGACCAAAAAGAATAATAATAAAATCGTACAGATTTGTCCAATCAACCCAATAATGACATGATTCTAGATATATTTTAAGAGAAAAATCAAGAAACAATATTGCAATGAAGATTTCATCAAATGCGTAAACCAAGTTTTGGCGATAATTATTATTTTTATTATTTTCATCTGTTTCTAAGCTTAAACCAACTGTTATTGAACTGGATATAATAACAAACGTCAAAAAATACTCATAAATTGGATGATGCAGAACTGTACGCAAATAATCTCTAGTCGTTTTTTTATGATACATGACATTATAATAAACATGCTGTTCATTATCTATACAAACTGATTTAGTATCATCACTTTTATTATCATTGAATTTAAAATAATCATTGATAAGTAATTCTTTCAAGCTATAATACATCGTATCTCTTCTAATTAATTATGGCAATACAATTTGCGCCGTTATTTTTAAGTTATTTAATTGATAGCAAACGAAGCAATGCATGTAGAATTCGAAACAATCGTACTATAGCTTTCATAAGTGTTAAGATTCTGCATAGTCACTTTTCTTTTGAAAATTTCTGTCAAAGTTTCAAACCGAGAACTGCTCCACACTAGGAGTAGGACCTGCTGGACGGGTTCTCTCCTCACCTGAGATCTCTTTTTAGATATTTCCAAAAATGAGCGAATATCTCTGCTAATCACTAGTCTTTATTCATCGTAAAAATCAGTTATTATTATTAATCCATAGTCATGTTCTCTATTCTAAAGCTGCACCATGAGCTAGTTGTGTTACAACATATTTAATGTCCGAGAAACGAAACGGTAGTGATGGAAAACTCAGAATGCGTACTTTTCCATATGTTATTGGATGTTCATTAATCAATGAAAGAAGTTGATTTTGAAATATCATTATTTCATCAGTAATATTGATCGTATCGTGTTGATCATTTTTTCCGTGTTTACGTCGATCCCAGCATGCCGATATTATTGTTGGAATATCAAATAGACCGTTACATTCTTTTTTTGCTGGGTCCCATTCAAGAAAATACACGAACATCGGACGATGTGTATCATTACCTGGTCGTTCTTTTGGTTTTCCTTGTATAACAGACGGATTCGGGGATGATGATACGTTTTTTAGAAATACCTTCATATCAGAACCGTCAAGATCACGAGGTACAATAACAAACAATTGATCGGTCGTCAACTGATATTCTTCGAATTTTCCACGACTGACTTCCATATCGATTGGTGTATGTCCCTCGTCCATCGATCGTATATTTGCTGCTGTAGGCACAATAAAATTGTAGAAGTAAGACAAAGCCATACCCATTCCAGCTGATTGCTTTGCTTTTTTCAATTCTCGTTCTAAACGTTCAATCCGAATTTGTTCATCTTCAATGAGAAAAAAAAATTTTGTTATCAATATCAGCAATGCAGTAGCGAACAAAGCATAACCAACGGCTAGTCGATTTTCTTTGTTACCCATGAGAATCAGAGAAAGTCCAATGATGAGTACAATAAGAGCAGCTATCAGTTTTAATAGATTGATTTTTCGAAACATTGATGCTCCTGTTAAAACTAACCATATACTTAATATTGCAAGCATTATGCCTGTGATAAGAAATGCATCCCCAAACGATTTTAATAAGAGACTTCGACCGACGTTAGCAAATAACCATAGGCCAGTTGCTAGAAGTATCACAAAAAGCGCAATATCAAGCAACACTTTAATAGTAATGCGACGTTGGCGCGACGGCTGTAGTGGAGACGTAATTTCGAAGATTGGATTCTGTAGTTCATCAATGTCGCTGATAAATCGTGGCGTTGACACCAGATTAGGCGACGATATCAAACTTTCCATTTCAACTTCATGATGAGATGACATCGTTAAAAACTTGAGCGGAAAATTTATTTAAATCTGAAAAATTTCGTATTTCAACTTTTTACATAACATTTAACTTACACTCATAGTTAGTTATCATAATTTTAGTAAAAATAAGCACAACTATTATGAAGAGCGTGGGGAAGGTCATCGACTTAGAAGCATTGGTAAAATGCAAATTTACTATTACAAAATAACATCAACTTCCATTGCTGATATCGTTTAAAGCGAAAAATCTTGATTGAAGTACCTGATCTAGATCTCATTTCCTAACCATTTGTTGAATTTTCGTTTGAGCTTTTTACGAAATGTCAGCGGCTTCAGAGTATCTAAATTTTTAGTTTGATTACCGTGTTCACTTGCTGGTAAACATTCTTCAAGATCAATTAAAAAATCCGGCTGATCATTTTGATTAGTAGAATTCGTACGGATCGATATCACTCGAAATGCTGTGTACGGCATTACAAGAACTTCTTTTTCGTTTTCATATTCCGAGATTTCCATGATACTTAATGCAGTACGTACATTCTGTATTTTATAAGTACAAATTGCAGTATATTTCTCTTGGTTTTTGTCAATATTATCCAATGCAAATTTCTCCGCTACTCGATAATCCGACGATGTAGATAAAAACGAGTTGTTCATTATCTGTGATCCAACTTCATATTGATCTAAGTCATGTTTAAAGATTGACATGCCTCGATAAGATTCACCAATATAACTCAATCGATCAAAGTCACGATGCGTGAAGATAACTTGCAGATAGCATTTTATTCCACACCGGTTAACATCACTATTGGTACTTTTAAAATTACCACCGACTATGGCCAGTTGTTTATTAAGATGTTTATAAAAATCAGTTTCGGCTGTATATGCTTTAATTAAAGAAATAGGATCCATTTCTTGTCTAGCTTGATTGAAAAACTTTTGTATTATTTCGAATTGCTGTGATTCTTTGAACTCGACATCAATAAAATCAGTTTGAATTTCATGCACAAGACAATCGAGGTTGCGACCTTCCCATGAATGTTTGATTATCCAACGCCATTTTTCTGCTTCTCTGTGAATGTTCTCATCAGATTTCATCCATTGAATTTGGCCACTATGACAAACATATCGATCGTTTTCATTTTTACGAAGAAAAAGTTGTTTGACTTCATGTGTTCTCGATTCAATTTCTGGTGTGTAACCATGCGAATTTCTGATCGAACGAGATGCACCTCGTTCTAACAGTAATCGAACGATTTCAGTATGTCCATAGTAAGATGCAACATGCAAAGCTGTGCTTCCATTGGGTTCGATGCGATCTATTTCATTCAAAGTTAACGTTTTAACTAATTCTTTTACTCGATTTATATCGTTATTACGACAGCAAGAGTAAAGTTCACTCATGTCAGCATTTTTTCTTGTCATTTTCATGTCTTAATCGATTTTCCAAATGTACGACTGGCTTGAACCAAGCATTCAAAACAATTTATTTGATAGGCACACGTGTGATTTCGCCTATTAAAGTGTACAGTGTTCGTTCTTATTTGCGACTATAAGTATACGTCAGAAATTAAAACGAATCGAGTCTAACAAATCAGGCCTCAAATAAAATTTAATAATGTTTCTTTCGTTTATTTTCATACTGTCACATGAATTTATTTAGTATTTTAGAATAATATGGAGCTTTGCTGAAGAACGATTTTAGAATGTTGAAACACAATCATGACCGCTTTTCTCTCGTAACGTTTCTAGCAATATCTTAATCATTTCGAACATTGGTCTATAGTCGTTACTATATAAATCACACTTTAAAAAAAAATGTTATTTTCTAATCAATTTTTTGTTCAAGATAATAGAATATCTTACTTAAAAATTCTTTTTATTAAAAATCATGTATACTCACTTTTTAAGTAATACTAAAATGTCAGAAATACCTTTTAATACGTGTTTGTAAATGACTATGTTACGATTTTATTGATGGTGAAATAACTTGATTTTTTTCCAACTTTCGTTTTTTTTTGTGTATATCACTCATGCATGACATACATTTTCGTGCGATAAGAAATTAATTTTTTCGAAATACGCTCATTAATTCGCATGGTCGATTTTTTTACCATATTCTCCCTATGCATACGGATTTTTGTCTTCCTTTGTATTACGTGTTGCTCTAAAAAGGAAGTGCACACGACGTCCCACATAGTAATATGTTTAAACTGGACGACGAGAACGTGCTTATACGCGTAGAACTTCCATGAATCCATCCACATCATTTCGGGAATGTACCAAAATTTTGCAGTGATTTCATCCAAAGTGTTTCTTGAGGGTTTGGGTCAGTAGTAATCAGGGACGGCGCGAAGCAACAAAAATATAGGGGGGTTACTTGAAAACGGGAGGTTTTTTTCAAAAATCGGAGTAAATCAATAAAAATCTCTTCTATTTTCTTCAAATCGAAACAAAAATTTCCAAAGTTGGGCCCCCCCCCCCCCACGTTCTCGCCGTCCCTGGTAGTAATTCCATCCACACCCACACCTACACCCTACTCTGATACTACATCATTTGAGTCCTCATCAATTATATTTTTCAAATCAAAGTCATATTGTTTTCGATGAGTTAAACCGGATAGAAAAAGAACATATCGCTTTTTGTCGGTTTTAATATCAATATGAACTGGTCGGTTCGGAATGGTGAGAAAAAATTGAACCGGTTCCATTTATTTTGTCTAATGGGATTCGTGATGATCATGGCAGCGAATTATTTCGCCAACAGAAAATACCAGCCCACGCCTAGGACGAATTGTTGATTCTAAGCTTTGTGAGATTCAATGTAGCACCAAAAATTTGTTCAACCTACCACTTTCCAATGCACTTTTTATGCTGTAAGTGTGCTACAGATGGAAAGATACTTAGAAATCTTGTTAAATGTCAACTATAATATTGGGTCTGAGGTTATTTTGTCTAAAAATATCGAATGGGTGTGAGTGTTTGATTTGTAAAATACATAATCACAATCAAAACATCGTGTACAACTTCACTCACAGGCGCATTCTTTTATTCATAATGAAACCAATGAATAGCGTATGATCATGAATATATTGAGAATAGAAGCAATCGATTAGTGTAGAAATTCCATCTATAATAAGATTTACCGAAGAAGAAATAATACTAATTATTCAGGTGCTACATTTGAAACAGACTAGTTTTGGTACGGGTCACATATTATGCGTCAGAAAGGCTAATCATTATCAACTCGCGTTTTATGATAAAATGTGAACTTCTTCATATGATTCAAAAGCTATCAGAAATCATATGCAAATAGAGACAATAATTCGTATGAATTATACATACATATGTTTCATTGATCTTAGCTAATTAGTTCGTATGACATGAGAGGTTTAAGGAGAGAATAAGTATGGACATACTCGAGAATGTATATGCAGACGAGAGTATCAATGTTATGTCAGGGAAATTTTGTTCCTCCCTTACAGCACAATTAAGTCATCGTTTTCAACACTTATTATCTTATTTGTATGAAATTTCTCTGTTTGCATGTAAGCAAAAGTATAGAAATAAAAACAAACGGGCCATATCTATGTGCACAGACACATCATTTCTACTCGTTATGTGTTTTATTTTGTAAAATTAAGATAAAGAGAAAAGGAGATTTAACAATCATACTCATACTGTTTCTACGTTCTCTTTCACATTTTCGAGTTTGATATTTTTCCTTCTCTCACATTCTGTCTTATAGCTTTTCTATAAACATGTGACGAAACATTGACTCATTCATAAATAAGAGAAGTTGTAAAGAAAGGAGAGGATCATGCATTGCGCCATAGAATCGAAATGACTATTTTTGTTGCAGAACTTGTCAGTCATTATTTTATTAGATCTTTTTATTGACAATGTAAAACGTAAGACAAGTAGCATTTCCAGTAACTTGGCGTAAATCGATGAGTACAACTAATCATTTTTTTTGTCTTTTCTGAAATTTTATTTAAGTGTGGCATAGGCAAGCAGCATATAAAGTCGATGCTTTCGACAATTTAGATAGATTTTGGTCAATTTCAAAATAAATGACTGAAAAATATTCTTTTCCTCTCATACGTACATAATCATGAATCTAAATGTGAAGCATATTGTTGAATTACGAAAGATAAGAATTTTTCATTTTGTTTTTCGACATACAAATCTTTAGAAAACTTGTGATATTTCTTAATGAAAAATGAGAACGATAGAACTATCGTAAGTGAATTCACTTAACTTGATTGACATGAATAGCATTTATTTCATTCAATAAAATACTGCTAGAATCATTCTTTCGAGAATGAATTATCTGTCTCATAACTTCAATTGTATCGTTGCAACGATTTCACAAAGTCATATTCGATATGTGTTTTTTTATGCTCCTGCAACTATATTGATCCCTCAACCGAATGATATAATTTACTTTTAGATAATTCATTTCCATTTTCAAAATGAGTACTGATAGTGCTTCATCAACATCATACAATTCATCCAACAAAACATTTATATTGAAAAATGCAAACTCATCCATCATTGAATTAGTATCAGGTCAACAAGCTATCGACGCATTACAAAAAGTCGATGATTATATTGCTAATTTAAGCCAGTTTGATTTAGAATCCCGTTTAAATTTGCCTTCATCGACAATTCAAGATTATATCAGGTTTATCGGGGAACAAATCTTAACTTGGGACGAAGAATCAAGCCAGGCTATGACATCCTGTATTGAATTCATCAATACAACTTGTCAAGAGAAACTAAATTTATTAACTTATCCACCACAAATATATGTTGTGTTAACAAATGGGAAAGGTGAAAGTAATGCTGCATATTGCCGAAATGAAAATGTTATTGTAATGCCAATAGGTATTATTCGTGGTGGACTGATTCGTAAAGTATTTGTTCATGAATTATTTCATATATGGAGTAAATGGCATAGCAATTTAATAACACGCAATGAATTATATGCAAGTATTGGATACCGTAAAATACCAGGCGAAAAGTCAATCGAATTTCCAGTCAGTTTAGAAAAAATAAAAATCTCTAATCCAGATGCACCTCTTGTTTTGAAATATTATATTGAATTGAAAAAACTTCGAGATCGAACGGAAAAAATATATAAATGTACACCAATTTTACTTGCTTCTCGAAATTTTGATCCTCAATTTTCTACCAATTTCTTTGATTATCTGAAGGCAACAACTTTAATCTTAGATGATAACACATACGAGCCATTAGAACCGTTACAATATTTAGCATATGAAGAAGCTGAAAATTTTTTTCATCAAATCGGACAAAATACATATTATATAATACATCCGGAAGAAATTCTAGCTGATAACTTCGCATTATGGATGATGAACAAAACTCCGTCAAAAAGGGTGACATCACCGAATGTTCTGTCGAGAATGGCTGATATCATTTCTACTGCTGCCAAGGATAGAAGCTAGTGTTACTCAAATGAACAAATATTCGAATTAAAGCAGGATTATCCACCAATCGAAAAAACTACTTTATTTTAACAATGGATTCTTTTGTGTTGATAAACGAGAACATTGGCGGCGTTCGGGTCCGTTGGATTACTCTCATCAGTCAATAATTAAATTAAAAATATCAGTGACACTGTTAGCCGTACAGCAACTGAAATATTCAAATTCTAAGATATTTCTAGTCTAAGTTGCATGGCCATCATCCAAAAGTTCATTAGACGGTTTCTTTGTTTTTTTCTTCATTGTTGGATAGAGCTCGTGAAATTATATTCGATAATATACATGATTTATTTAAAAAAAGCAAATGTATAGGACAATAAAGTCAGCATGTTAAGTTTTGTAAGTTTCTTCTTGAACTTTGTTTTAAAACAAGCAGTGTATATTACCTAATGCCATTTCACCAGCTCTATCCAATAATGAAGAGAAAACAACGAGGGTATGGGTGGGGTGTGGGGTGCGTGTTGATGTAAAGGTTCTTTTCAGCGATACCCATACCCACACCCACACCCCTGATTCGAACCGGTTCGACGAAGTCTGGACCGGAATCCTGTAGTAAAGAAATCGTCGGAATTCAACGGAACCGATCGATTCCGACGTACTGAGCTTGACCTGGGAATGCTAATATCTAGGCATCGATTAACACTAACGCCAATAATGTTAATGCTTTATGCATTACAATTAGTAAAAATAACTATGGTTATCCGAAGGTTTTGGATCGGTTCGCAACATATGGGCAGGGGCTACGCTAATCTTCTCTGTATCGTTCCAATTTTATTATATGTCCCACCGAAGTGGACATTAATCACTTAGGTTTATGACTATATATACTGAATCTAGAAGAGTACAAAGAAAAAGATGAATAAGCAGAGTCAGCAAATTTAAATAATACAAATAGGTGACCTCTATTAAGAGTGTCTTGCGGAATTACTTTTGTTTTTTGCTCATATTGTCGCATGATATATACGTTTATAGACTTTAGTAGGGCGAAGCAACAGGGCATTTTGAACCGCGATGGACATCTCTACCTCTGAGTTTCTGCAAATCTCTTAACTAATGGAAACAAATCGTCAGTAGTCAAATAATCGGATAATTTGAATAAAAGCTTTTTTCTCGATTTACATATTATTTTTCTGAAATAACCGCAAAAAGGCTATTCATACATAGGCATACAATCTATCAATATCATTATATTCCAATCAATAAGGTACAAACATCGAACCCCATTCATGTACTAACAAGCCGCTATCATTTTCGTCTTCAGAAAATTTCCAATTCATCAACATTCCATTTATATCTTCCATAGTTGAGATATTTATCTTATCATCACTTAGACTAAATACAACAAATGCACGAATCATTCGTTCGGGTGTTGGACGAACATTAAGTTCGGCTACTGATGAATATTCATCAGGTGTAAGAAATCGAAATATAACGTTCTTATATTCGTGATTTGGATCTTCTTCATCTAATTGTGGTAGAATATAAGTAATCATATCATCACGATCTTCTAATGAAAATGTCATTTCTTTCAACATATAATTGAGAATACGAGAAAAATCATGTCGAGATACACAAAGACTTTTATCTAAATTGAATTTTGAGGTAATACTGTTATTCGTCGATGCTTCCCAAAAGAGCATTTTATGATCTTGTTCAAATGAAATATTTGGAAACATATCATCTATAATAATGAGTAAAGATAAATCATTGATGATTGAATAAAGAATATAAACTCACTTTGTTGGATTTTCATGTCATTGTTAAAATGCAATTGTCCATCCGGATGAACTTCAATATTATTCCATTCGATAAATGACATTCGATCAGTATTTGATGGTATTGGATATATACTTGATAAATTCCAAATATTACTTGCTAGATGAAGATGAACACTAACATTTGATACGATCTGATTATTTAATGAACGAAGACGAATGATTGGTTTTCCGCCCCTCAAAGGTAGCACAAGATGAAAAGTACCTTCGTGTAAAATCCCGTAATCAGCTAATGTTCGTTCATCTTCGAGTTGTTTACCAGCAAAGATTAGACGTTGCTGGCCAACGGGTATACCTTCCATAATATAGATTCGGCACTTCAATCGTTCTATTTTATCTTGTGCTAGAGCATCCAACGTTAAAGTTTTACCAGTGAAACGGCGAATAAAAATTTTCATTTTGCTGAAGGATTTGTCTCGCCGATGAACGATATATCGACCATCATGTTGTTGAATTGGAATCTTTTCCTCAATTTCGAATGTTGCCACACCATCAGCATCCTTTAAATATGCACTCTGAGCAGCATCTCTATCAAATAGACCACGCTGCACGAGCGCGCAAAATATCTGAACCACAGGCACACGCTCGTTAATACTAAAACAAGAAGAAAAATCATACTATCGAAAACTTTAGTGTCCCGCGTACTATGCATTACAAGATTGATTGTCGAGAATGACCGTGACAACGCTTAGTTGTGGCACTTGTCGGTTGTCCCACCGTTCTTCAGAGCAATAACCATATGAACGAAGATCAATAATACATTGTTCTAATTTCTTCTTATCAGTTAGCCGATCGATTTCTTCTATGAATGCAGTTGTTTTTTCTTTATATGCAACTTCATATGCTTGTTCCAAAAAGTGAATCATCTAAAATGAATAAATTCGGTGAAGAGTTTCAGTTGTTGTTCGTAGGTAAAAATAGCTGATGTAAATGTTTACGAGTCTTTAGACTTTCTTCTCACGAGACAGTATAAATACGACCTTTTTCATCGAGCAGAGCAAAGTGTAGAGAAAAATGTTTTATTGAAATGAATCAGAACCTTACCTCATCGATATATGATCAAATAAAAAAATTGAAAGATTTCTCTCATATTCTAGTACCCTGAAATATTTGAGGAAGATATAAGTATGTAGTGAAAATCATTTATCGGATAGAACAATCGAAGTAGTATAGCTGAACTTGTATGAATATTGAAAAAGACGTAGTATTGATCCAAGAATTTTAAAGTGCCAGTGGTAGTTGAAGGATGCTTCGCAAAGTCTTGACACAAAGAATTGTATTCCTCTATGTGTTGACAGAAGATAAGTGACAATCAACATTAAACTAGTGTTTTCGATAAAACTGAAAAGGCAATTGTTATGGCCTTCTGCCATGATACATCATCCTTGGTATGTTTGTTTATCAGTTTGAGTCAGAATTCCTTGAGTCATGGGCATGGGATGCTTGACTAAGGAGTCTGAACTCACACTCTAAAAAACAGGTTTTTTACAGAACCTAAGAAGGATCTTATCCTCGGTACACCATCAAATCCTTTTTGGATTTTGTAAAAAGTGAGGTTTCGTACCAGTCCCCTCCACAATAATTCAAAAAAAGGGTTTCATAGCAATGGCTTCGTACAGAACCTTTTAAAAATCATTCAAAAAAAAGGTTTCGTACCCAACAAAGGTTCCGTACAAAACTATTTGCACTAAACCTTCTTCCAAATTGTCTCTCCACTCAAAAATTTCATTTAACCCTGTGCTGCCGCCCCCGGTATGCGCACTATTCGAATATTTCTCAAAACCCGAGTATGGTATACATCAAATGAATCAAGAGTAAGATGAAATAGTCTAGAGAGTAATTTTCTGCGTTCAAAAGAAATCATTCTAGAGACTATTTCATCTTACTTTTGATTCATTCGATGTATACCATACTCGGGTTTTGAGAAATACTCGAATAGTGTTCATACCGCGGGCGGCACCAGCCGGTTAAAGCCAACTCCACCTGTGATTTCCATAATTGAAATAACTTTAAATGCAGAAACAAATAAATATAATCATTTTATAAGATCCAACTTACGTCACTATTCTTATACTTGAAACAATCTATAATAAACAAGTTAGCGAAAATTTATTATTACATAAAATCAGACTAACCTAAAACGCGATCTCTATATTAACCTAGGATTAAAAAAACGAATAACTCTTTGATTTGCTAAGAGAGAACTTACCTAAAACTGCGTATAAGCATCAACCTAGAACAAAAAACAAATCAAATATATTAAATTATACACGATCAAACTGACCTGAAATTGCATCTTTGCAGCCTTCATTAATTAAACAAAACAAATTTCTGCTATTTTATGACATCAAATTTACCTGAAAACCTTCTATATGAATGAATCAATAAAAAAGAAAAAAATCATTCACTTTCATCACATCAAGCTTACCCCAGAATTGACAGCAGGGTTGAAATAGTCTACGAAACGAACGCTGGTTTGGTCGGTATTTTACAAAACCTTAAAGCGCACTAAAAAGTATGAAAAAGTTCCGTACAAATAATACGAAAGCTTTGGATCGTGAATAAAAATATCAGCTGGTTTGTGGAAAAGATTCCAAACCTCGAGAGAGTCTACAAAGCTTTCAGTGGTTTGGTACAAAATATACGAAACTTTCGAAGAGTTCAGACGCAAAATTGCGAAACCTGATGAAATATGCTGAACTTAAAATAGTTCTAAAAGGAGGCCACGGAACTTAAAATCGTTCGGTGGAGAAATGCGGAACTATTAAGGCTCGTTAGAGTACCGATTTTTTTAGAGTGTACTTAAGAGCTATATATAACCATGTATCTTCTAAGTGTGTGTGTGTGTATGTGTCTTCCCACCTCCTGGTTTGCAACAATGACGATGCTGAATAAAAAAAGGAAATAACGAATGAACGATCGTTAACAACAATCACAATATTTCATACCATGAAAATGTATTTGTATGGAGAGGAAAGAAACACATCACATGCTTTTATTTTGGCACACGCGTTGTTACATGGTAGACACACATATAAAACGGAACTAAGAAGTTTGACTCATTCTGAAAATAAAAATTGCACAATGTTGATGCAAAGAAAGCCAGATGAGTAATTGTGAAAAAAGGTTTTCTTCCTATTACGTATTGAAGCATGTTACAAAATGAAGTTTTTGTGATGTTATTGATTGGGAAATATGCAACAGAAGTTTAAAATAAAGATATTTCTTATTCGTTAAGAATTTTTTAATACAAAAAGTGGTGAATAGACTGGTGTCAGTAGAGATATTTCTTATCGGATTTGACTACTAATTCACTACGACGATCGTACCCAACATTTATCCGTTTAATTCTTATTTGATTGTAGTGCTCTGTTGAATTTTATAAACTATCTACAAAAATTCACATCCTCACCCTTTAAATATAAATAATTGAATAATGAATTCTTTTCTTATTCATTTACGTCATCCAATGGTCTTTTGAATTCAAAACAAAAATTATTTTAAACGATAATAACAAAAATTAAATCTCTTTGTTAACGTTTTGTATAAAGAAATATTATCTTAGTCATGTATATTTTTAATTTTGAAAACTATTTGCCCAATGGTATGGGGGTGGGTATATATGAGAAGATAGACCCGTATCTGCCCCCACCCCCACACCCTCAGAGAAATTAATTAATTAATTAACCGACTTTTTGAGAAAAGACAAAATCGAACACAACGATATGTGCAGAAAATCGATTAGTCTTTTTACCCGTCCTTTGCTCTCCTGAAATGCTAATCAACTTTATTTTTCTTGCTTGAAAAATGCAATCAACAAAATGCATTTTTAATCTATATAAATAAAATTTCTTTTCCTACTGTAGATTAGAGATGGAACTGGTACCAGTTACAGGACGGTTCGCGCTCTTTTCTTCTCTNACATCCATCTCACACTCGAAAAATGAACACAGTAGATTTTCAAACGTTGTTTTGCAAAGCAAACTCATCGAAAACTATTGCAATTTTTCTGTTCTCATAATTCCTCCTTTGAGACATATGAAGGCACATGGCCAACTTTACATCACACTAGGTGGTAATATGAATCATGTACAATTGCTTGAAGCCAATTTCAATATAAGGAAAAAACCAACAGTGATTGTTGAGCTATAAATATGAAGGATATGCAAATTGTACACCCATTTTTCTTAAAAGTTAAATATGGATGAAGTTGTTCCAATCGATTCACTTTACAACGACGAACATGTTCCTGAAGAACTTTACGCACTTGTTCAAAATAATTTAGTAGATCAACTTACTGATCGTTTAGACAGTCTTACCCATCCAATAGAATATTTGACGGCCGTGAGCTGGCATGGGAAAGAAAAGTTAAGTTTATTAATGGTTGCAGCGCTCAATGGATATGAGGACACAGTGCGAATTCTATTCGCTCATTGTCCACCTCAATATCAGATTGAGTTGAAAGGAAGAGTAGCTGTTTCTGAGGGATATTTCATTGGTGGTATGACAGCACTTCAATGTGCCTGTTATCGAGCGCATTTCACTTTAGCTAAAACTTTAATTGACATGGGCGGAGCCGATATTAATAATGATAATGACGACGATATAGGTTATCCACTACTCATTCAAGCTAGTGAGCACAATCGTCTTGATATCGTTCGTTTTCTCATTGAAAATGGTTACTCTGACATTAACAAGACGCAGTCCAATGATCAAGACCGATGCACTGCTCTGATATGGGCTGCTTTCAAAGGCTACACAACGATGATCGAATATTTACTTGAAAAGGGTGCTGACATTAACTATTCTTGTAAAAGTGGCGAAATGCTTGCACCAACACCAATCACATGTGCCGTTCTTCGAGGTAATGTCGCTGCTGTACAATTGTTATGCGATGCAGATGCGGATACAAGTGTCAAGTTCACTGATGGTGCAACACTTCTTATGGCTGCTGCCGAACGAAAATATTTTGATGTAGTCGAGTTTCTACTCAATCGATCTATAGGTACTACCGATGAGCTCGAGCTTAGTGCTTGTTCACTGGTTACCGCCAGTTCACCAATAAAACAATTGCACCATGCATCAGAGCTCTTGACTCTTGCTATTAAATATCGTGTATCGACTCAGACTTTAAAAACTTGCATACAATCAACTGTTGCATACGATTATCATCAAGAATGTCAAACAGTTGACGAACTTGATGCTATTAAAGATGATCATGATCGAATGTGGATCGAAACAGCACTTATTCGAGAGAGGATTCTACTCCCGCGACATGATTCTAGTTTCATGAGATCACTGCATGATCGTGGTGATTTATTAGTATCCAGAGGCGAGTTTGAAAAGTGTCTTCATTTGTGGATTCATGCGTTTTACCTCTACCAACATATGGAGATTAGCACTTCTCTTCATAAATTCGTATGGTTATTCTGCAAGATGATTACAAAAAATCATCAAATATCTATTGATGGATTTTTAAAGGCTTGCTACTTGGCATTCGAATCATCGCAAAGTAAATCCGACGACGAGACTATTGGCAATGCACTGTGTCTGGTCATAATTGCAACTAAGGTAAAATATTCTTTATTATTGAGTAGACCTCAACTTATTTTTATTTGTAAGATTCTGGAATTGCAGATCATGAAGAACGAAGACCAAGTATTGATATTTCAATGGATTTCGAAGTTGTGCCGTCTAAATCTAGTAACTCAAGAAGGGAAAACTCTACTTCATTTATGCGCGGATAATAATCTTAATGAGGCTCTTAACTGGCGTCGTGATGATATTCTACTACACATTCGGTAAGTGAACGTTTTCAATTTAAGGAAGTGAATGCGGTGGAGCTAAGTCATGAGTACTCTCTCACGCTAGCGAGTGGCTCCTGTAAAATTAAAATATCAAATATCATTTCGATAGGTTGTCTACTAGGCACTCTCAGCTTGTTCTAGGGGTTCTCAGTTAATGAATAGTGGACAGCAGAGCGCTGATGAATTTATATTGCTTTTCAGTAAACACTGAACACCCTCAAGATCTGACTGAACGTGACTTGTTAGATATTTTATTTATACTCTGCAACAAGAGCTTCGTTCTCGAAGGCGCAAAGTCGTGATGTATCAATTTGATTTCTAAAATATTCGTTTTTAGAGACCAACTTGATGACTGTGCCTTACCCACATGCATACTCTTGCACAAGTTGGAAGGTAATGAAACTGCTTGAAAAAAATCTTGTTTATTTTAAGATTTCCAAATGAGTCTGTTCTTCAATTATTACTTACTTGTGCACATCATTGGCCGGATTTAGATGCTGCTGAACGGATAGGTGGTAGTACAGCGCTACATTTAGCATGTCAACAATCTAATGAACCGACTATCATCAAATGCCTAGTAAATGCCGGTGCTCACATCGATTGCGTAAATTTATATGGAGAAACTCCTATAGACTGTACAAAAAACGAAAACATGATAGCTTTTTTGGCTTCTAAATTATTTCCATGTCGTTTAAAATGCTTGTGTGCTCGTCTCATCGCTGACAAACGACTAAACACCAATCATCATGATCAATTGACATCACACTTGAACAAATTCATCTTATTGCATGATCGGCGAAGGGTAGAATGCAATTTTTAGGATCGGCATCTACATGGATACTATCTAGATGAACAACGATCCCTATTCGTCTAGCGATATATGTCTAGTCAGATATTTATTTATTGGCTTTTTGTTTTTGGGTGTGGGCGTGTGTCGACAAAGAGGCTCACCACATCCATACCTACACCCTATATCAGTTCTTTATCTCTTCTTCAATTTCCCTCAATTGATCATACAAATCTCCATTATGAGCGTTACAACAGCATACTTAATCATTAAATATTTTACTCAACTTGTGTTCTTTTCCATTGAATTAATATTTTTCTTTTCATTTATTTGTTGTGCAATAATACCTAAGCTTAGAAAAAAAAGCTTCTCCTATTTAAAAATCGAGAACGTGCAATAGTTCTCTTAAATGTTCCAACAGAATGCATGAGAAAAAACCTGTTCTAAATCAAATAAAACATTGAGTTCAGTAAAGATGCGGATGTGATATCCTGATACCATTTGTAGCATTCACTTTCACCGACATCGTGGTCATTGTTTCTTACATATAAGTTTATGTTGATATAATTCCCAATCTATAGCTTGGCATTCTTTTGTACAATAACGTGCTTGTTTACATTTACTGCAAGCATGCAGTGCATTTGCTTCTCCACAACATCGACACATATTGACTATGTATTCTGATTCACTTTGCATCATAATTGATGAAAATTCATCGACACGAACCACTGGTATCTGGTCACTCGGAGGTATTCGTAGATATGGATTAATAATATTCATTTTACTGCCAATTCTAAACACTTTAGTAGTAAAATATTCTCCCTGATCTTCAGGAAAACCATAAACGCATATTTTTATGCAATCGAGATGTTCATCTTCAATTAATAGATGAATTGATGGCTTCCACGAATAAGCCTCTCCGATGATTGTTACCGAAAGCACATATCCTTCATAAACATGATCATTTATTGGATTCATTTCTCTTATTGTAATTGGCTTCAATCCAAGCAACGATTTGACTGTTCGCTGCGGAACTCGAGGTTTACGAGTAATGTATGCAACAGGACGAAATGAACTGTCACTCGCTTGTAGGAATCTGCTTTGCCATTTACGATGTTCTACTATAATTGCAATTCGATTCGGATTTCTTAGTCGTGATTTATTAGTAATGACAGGAGTTGGTGCCTCTGTATTCAGCGACGATTTCTCATCGAGTATCTGTTTAATAAGGGTTTTATTGTTCGATTTATAAGGTAGAAAACATGGTAATTGCAGTTTTTCCGCTTCTTCGCCTTGTTGATATATTTTCTTGACATTATCGATATTGTCTTGGTGCTTTTCGTGTGCAAAATAACAACTCGCCATTGCATAATATGATTCGGGTACTTTTCGATGATCCTTGGGAGCGGCTGCGAAAAATGCTCGATACGCTGTGATAGTCTCGCTCATATCCTTACCTATTAGTCGCAATGCCATGGCTTTTTTATACAATAACTCAGAGTTGTGCGGATCTATCTCTAATCCGATATTAGTATCATATAATGTTGTCTCATATTGACCCAGCAAATAGTTTACTACTGCACTTAACTGGAAAAAAATAATTGATTTCGGATATTTTTGTTTACATGGACCAAGAAACTCAACAATTTCACTTAGCGAGTCCATATGTAAAACAGCGTAACATAGTCGAACATCTTCATCGAGTTGTGAGACACCATCAGTTGATTTGGTATCCGTAGCACATCGATGCAGAACGCGATCAACAATTTCATCTGTTTTTCGCCTGATTTCTATAGTAGGAAATTGACCGACTATATGTTCGATACGAAAACATTGTGACAGTTCGTGTACAAATACGTTTTCTTCGTTTTCTGTTAAAGTTTTTGCTTGCTTGATTATACTTAATGCTTGCTCTAAATGTTGCAGAACATCACACATTCTCCTTGCGGTTATCGAACCACGATTGGCATGTTCAATTAAAATGCTATAATCATTGTCATGGGACTGGTCAGTTTGTTTATCGACGTTCTCTTTTCCTTGACATAATTCTGTAACATTTTCTGTTGCATTGATCCTTTTCACAGTTTTTAATGGGCATTGATCAATTTCTTGCTGCTTTTCCTGCAACAATTTCTCAAACATAGGACGGTGATTTTGAGTGATAATATTGCCTGCTTCGCACGCTCGATCATACCATATCTTTGCCATTTGAAGTTCATTTTTATCCAATAACATCTTTGCTAAACTCTGCATAGCAATTGCATCACCTTTTTTAGCTGCCATTTCAAATAATTGTTCGGCCTTGTCAAGACTCTTTTGCACACCAATACCGTTGTAGTACATCAAAGCCAAATTATTCGCTGATTGAAAATATTCGTGAGCGATAGCCCGCTCATACCAATACACAGCAGTTTGTACATTTTTGGGAACGACGATACCTTCAGCGTATCGAAGACCTAAAGCATGTTCAGCTTCTGCTACACCCGGATTTCGAAATTTTTTTAATTTCGAATACATTGGTGGTTGTGCGGCTGCTTGCTCATAGAAGGTTTGAGCCAACTTATGATCTTTCTTCACACCAAGACCAAGATCAGTCAATCGAGCTAAATTATATAATCCTTCGGCATTGTTTTGACTTGCTGCTTTTGAAAAGTACCTAGCGGCTGTTTCATAATTTTGTTTAACATCAATATCTCCATGTTCGTATCTGTGTCCTTGCGTCAAATCCGCTACGACTGGATCGATTTCTCCAAGAAAACGTAGAGCAAGGAGTGTATCATCTGGATCTGTACCGAATTTCTGCTGTTTTTCCTTCAATCGTTCAGGAATCGACATTGGTCTTAGTTCTGGATTAAGATCGTTGTGCGACAATTGTTGACTGTGTATTACACGATTTTCATCCAATGTTTTCTTTATTTCGGCGTTTGTGGGATCGAGAGCCAGTGCTCGTTCAAATGAATTCATCGCTTTTTCATGCTCATTCAAGGCCGCGTATGCTTTTCCAACACGCAAATGTCCTTTCCACCATGAAGACCAAAGATTTCGGGCTTTTTTAGCATCTTGCAGTGCCCGATATCGTTCATCCTTTGAATCTTCAATTTCAAATCTTCCGATAGAACCTGCTTGTTGTTCATACAGTGCAAGACGAGTAGAAGCCATATTCGAAAAGAAAATAGCACGGTCATGATCTAAAACACCCGGTAAAACAATTGCTTTTGTAAATAATGTGATTGCTTCGGAAAATTTCCCATCTTTATGAGCTTGAGTGCCAAGTGAGTTTAAACGTGATGCTTCTTTCACGTTTCCTTCATTAATTACTTGAGTTGGAGCTTTGAAAATACTGTCGTCCTTTAGTTTATCTAATTCAGTGTCTATATCACCGAGCGCAACTAGAATTGCCGTTAAATCAGTCCACAACTGATTAAATTCAACAGTAGCAACTGATTTTGACGGGTGATGAGCCAAATTATTTCGAATTTCTCTCAGTTGTTTCAATGATTTATCTTCTTCGTCGAGCTGTTGTATTTCAGCTGCGTTTAGTGTTTTTGGACGGTCACCAAATATGAGAAGAGCATTTATTGTAGTCAAATCCCATTCATTTGAATCGCCATGCGAAACAGATATATTTTGCACTTTTGTTAAACTAATTTTTTTATTCTTTTTAATGACATTAGTCAAATAATTTGTTCCACATGTGGGTGTATCATTCCATATTTGACCACCGTTAAATTGAGAATAACGATTCTTAAACAGTTGACGAAGTGGATCGTGCGAACGTGTTAACAAAAGTTCCAATTTGAAATAATTACGAACATCAGATGAAATGTTGGCCATATGGTACTATGTATGAAGCGAATGAAATTACAACAGTCATGCAAAGCAGCTAATTGTCTCTTTTTTTCGTATTTTTATCTATGTTATGCAACGGAGCAAGCAAGTAAAAGAAGTGCGTAAAAGATGAATTTTTCACACACACATGTGGAGAATATTACATTTTTTTCTTTTTTCTTTTCTCTTCAAAGTTTTGTTCTATGAGAATACACGCATGCAATATAATGAAAAAACAGATTTTACGTGAAGCAAACAATAACAACTCTAATTTGAAAACAAAATCATATTCTCTATGATGTGTACGAGACTCTTTGCTGAAGAGTGGTCAGAAAGTTTCAAACTCTTGCCAAATCGATCGTATGTACGACAAACTCATATATAGTTAATTAAGCGAAATATGTGTGGGTGCCAGTAATTGTTTCTTTTATACATTCACAACTACACTCACATAGTCACACCCATTCAAGTAAAAAATTAGATACGCGTTAATGATAAAGAAAATAACAAAATTGAGATTGGTATGTTTCCTCGTGGCATTTTATATAGCTATAAATTATCTTTATAGAATCTTCTTATTTACAGTAAATGAAACGTTACAAACACGCTACACATCAGATACCACAGAACTTGTAATATAAAACTTAAATGTGTAGTTATATTGACGAAATTACTTTTATAATAGATATGAGCTTAGGCAATGCCATTACGATTTTCCATCTATGATGTATTCCAAGTATTTGAAAAGAAAGTTGCCATCATTGGTGAATCATTCATGGAATTGTGTTTTTCTCTGCTTACCATATGGAACTACTATATGAAGCGCTCAATTTATACGTCTTACAATTTCACCTTCTACTCGACTCAGATCCAGTGAAAAATATCCCTCCCAAAATCTAAATTATTTTTGATTATGACTGAGCAAATCCGATTTCTCTAACCAAGCTACCTCTTTTTGTAGTAGAATCCGATTAAAATCCAACAATCGATTATTTCTAATTTACTGCAGCTGAATCTAATTTTAATCCTACTACCCATGAAGGTTATACAAGCACATTTAGTTTGCATTAAACAACAATTGAATGGATGGATGAATGAATTGTATTTTTTATGCCAACCAAAAGAAAAAGAACTTTGGAATGAAAGTAAAATTCTCACCACTTGATTAGCCGACAACAATTCTGTGGCAATCGATCATTGAATGA